CTATTCTATTCTATTCTATTCTATTCTATTCTATTCTATTCTATTCTTGTTTTATTCTTATTCTACTCTATTATATTCCATTCCATTCTATTATTGTTTTTCTATTCTATTCTATTCTATTCTATTCTATTCTGTTCTGTTCTGTTCTGTTCCCTTCCCTTCCCTTCCCTTCCCTTCCATTCCATTCCATTCTCGTTTTTTTCTTATTCTACTCTATTATATTCCATTCCATTCTATTATTTTTTCCATTCTATTCTATTCTATTCTATTCTATTCTATTCTATTCTATTCTATTCTATTCTATTCTATTATTCTACTGTATTCTACTCTATTCTCAATGAACATTCTTTTCTTTTCTAATCTCTTCTCTTCTCTTCTCTTCTCTTCTCTTCTCTTCTCTTCTCTTCTCTTCTCTTCTCTTCTCTTCTTACCTTTGTTGGCCACCCATCTTTCCTCAAGGCAACCTTGCTTAACAGGAGAATCCCACAAGTGCTTTTTCAAGAGGCAACTGGACTTCCTTTGTTTTTCCTCACCCAAGAAGCCTCTCCAGTTCTGACTGAACGGTGGAGGATGGAAAGATGTATCAGTCTTCTGTTCAGGTGACTGCAAAAAACACCAATCCTTCCATTCGCCACCACCCAGTCAGAAGTCGAAGGAGATTCCTGGATGGGAAGTGAAACATCTTCCTGGAAAAACAAAGGAAGTCCAGGGGCCTTTGAAAAACAACAACACACCTTTGGGATTAGAGGAGATGGCATAGATTATAAACCGGAATTATTTTTACTTGGGATTATGACAGAAAGATATGGTAAAGAGGAGATTTATCTAATGGTACACATTATCACGGCAGCAAGAATGACTTTTGCCCAAAAATGGAAAGAGAGAGAAATTCTCGATGAAGGCGAGGTGATAAAGAAGATATTGATATGTGCTGAAATGGATAGATTGACTCTGGAATTGAAAAATAAGGGTGAAGCAGAATACTATAAGATATGGAATAAATTTTATCAATGGTGGGAAGAGAAAGGAAGGACCCAGAATAAAAAGCAGGATCTGTAAAATGGGTAATTATGGATAGAAACCAACTGTACAAATGTATAAATGTATATAAAAGATGTATTATATATTATAACATGCATGATAAAAAGGAATGTCAGGACAATCACACTGTGTCCAATGTTTTAGTAATTTAATCAATAAAATATGGAGAAAGAGAGAAAAACGCCTTTGGGACCTGGATGGATGAAAATCTCCATAGCCATATAGCAGTTCGAAAGCATGTAAATGCGAGTAGATTAATAGGTACCACTTTGGTGAGAAGGTGAAAGCTCATTTCTTGGTCCTTTTCTCCTTTCAGCCACTACTTGATGTCCTGAGAACATGGAGATGAGAAATCCACTCACTTCTACCTGTTCCCTTAATCCTTTTCTTCCTGGCCAAACCTCCTTTTGTTCTTACTTTTTCCCATCTTCTAGAAGCAGACAAATTCTGCCACAACAACATTGTTTTTTTAAATTTTATTTTTATTTTTTTAAAAACTCCTGTAGCAGATTGTTCCTTGGCTTTTAAAATTACAGCGTGAAGCGCTCTCTCTCTCTCTCTCTCTCTCTCTCTCTCTCTCTCTCTTCCTC